AGGGGAGCCAAACACATGCTGGGGCTACAGAACCGGATGAAGCCAGAAGACTGCAGTGAGGGAGGCCGCTGAGGGGAAACCCACGGTCCCGCTTTATCCGAGGCAGTGAAGTCACCTGCCGCTTCGTCCACTGAGAGCTCGGTGGCGAGAAGCCCGCCAATCTTGCTGAAGGCTGGCATCTGGAGGCCGTATTTCTCCAGCTCCCGCTTCATGTTGTTAATTTCCTCCTCTGGAACAGAGCAAGCCGAGTCAGCGAACACACGCCCGTTCGATCCCGTGATGGCAAAGGACGTTGAACTGCGGTTACGAGGCTCATCGTGTAGTCGATACAATTTGTATCGATGAGTCGATAAGGAGCCGCTCTGCAGAGCCGCAGCGGGGGTAACGCCCGGTGCCGGTTTGAGCCAGGACTGAGCAATCCTGGCTTGTGGGGAGCTCCGGGAGCCACCCGTGCTGCGGCTCTGCATTTTAAATGGAGTAAGAGCCACTGGGCAGCGCCCCAGCTGGGACTGCTCGGTCTCGGCTCACAGAGTCCAGCAGCCCCTGTTCACAGTGACCAGCCTCTGCCCACAGGGAGCCTAGGCCCACCGCAGGCAGAGGCGGCTTAGCAGCAGCCTCCCAGCAGCAGTGGGGGGTGGGGAGAGGCAGCACCATGGAGATGGTTCTGGGGGAAAACCAGCTTCCCCCACAGCACCGACTCCTGTTTCTCCGCTGCTGCCTCTCCTACAGAGGCAGCAAGCAGGGGGGCAAGCGAGTAGTTGACTACTCACTAACATCCCAAGCAATGGCACCCAATTTCCTTCTCGCCGTTCTATTTACCACGAGGATGGCAACCAGAGTCCCTAGACAGGAACAGGCCCCGGGTATCCCAGGCACTGTATAGATGTATCCCTCCCTGCCAACAAATTGAATCTCTCTAGTCCAGCACTTCCTGGTCTGGCAACAGCCGTGGCCTGGCATGATTTTTGTTCCACTTATGGGTGCGGCCAGGTATCCGCAGTCCCGCCAAGTTTGCTCACAGCCACCAGTCCTAGCTCTGTTTTGTGCTGTTCTTTAGCTCTAGTTTACCCCAGACTGCCTTCCAAGAGCCCAGCAAGCAGTAGTAGTGCTGGGAATGTTGATAGACAATAGTGACCACCCATGGTCCGGCAGACTCTCCGATTCAGCACCAGTCAGGTCCTGAGCATGCCAGAGAGGTTCAACCTGTACCCTAAATGGCAGGGAATGTGAATGGATGTCAGCCCATGGGACCTGTGCCAGGACCCCCTGTGCAAAGCCTCAGGCTTCACTGGAGCGGGGCATGCCTGGGTGCACTGATGAAGAATCAGGGCCCTGCAGTAAAGAGTCATTCAGCGTCCCTAAGAGCTTTAAGGAAAAGCTCCCGGCGCGAAGGGAGCAAGCCACAGTACGTGTTTCTGTCTCTAATGTCAGCAGGGCTGAGTGGGACTCGCAGAGGAAACCAGTCTCCAGTGAGACCACGTGGTCCAGTGGGCAGGATTGGAATCAGACCACCTGGGTTCTAATCCCATCTCTGCCACTGACCTGCCCTGTGACCTTGGGCAAGTCACTTCCCCTCCCCTTCCCACTTTTCCCTCCCACCCTTAGTCCATCATGCCCATTTAGACTGTTCAGGGCACAGACTTTTTCTTAGCAAGTGTCCACACCACGCCTGCTGTCCTGTGTTAGCAACCGAGGTACCAAAAAGTCAATTTTCCATCTCAGAATAAACAAAGCTCCTTAGAAATAAAGGAAGCGTCCTTCCTTGCTGAAGCATCCCCTGCACAGAACCATTCCAGAAAGACAAACTGTAAATACAGATTTTGCAAGGGTTCACACACACACACACACACGCGCCCAGATTTGTCCTTTACCAGCCCATACCTGTAAAGTTCACTTTCCCGTATAAGTCCTGGATCTGCGGAGCCAGTCCCAGCTTAAACAAGTATAAACTGAAGATTTAAAACAAAACAAACACACACATACTTCAAAGATGAGTTTAACAATTCAATTTTCTCCGGACACACAGTAGAATCATAGAATGCTAGAACTAGAAGGGATCTCGAGAGGTCATCAAATCCAGTCCCTGCCCTTCTGGAAGTACCAAGCACCATCTAGATCATGGATTCCCAAACTGGGGGGCATGCCCCCCTGAGAGTGTGTGTAGAAATTCCAGGGGTGGGCGTGAGGCAACCCAGCCTCCCCCCATCCCCCATCAAGTTTTGCTGCCCTGTTTTTTTTTTTCCTCAAGTTTTGCTGCTATTTGGAAGGGGGGCGTGAGGGTTTTTCAAAAATCAAAAAGGGGGGCATGATGCCCAAAAGTTTGGGAACCACTGGTATAGAAAGAATGGGCAACATTTGTCATAGGGGTGCTGAGCCTGAGGGTTTTTTAAAAAAATCAAAAAGGGTGGGGGGTGATGTCAAAAAGTTTGGGAACCACTGATTGAGATCATCCCGGATAGAGGTCTATCCAACCTGCTCTTAAATATCTCCAGGGATGGAGATTCCACAATCTCCCTGGGCAATTTCAGTGTTTAACCACCCTGACAGGAAGTTTTTCCTAATGTCCAACTTAAACCTCCCTTGCTGCAATTTAAGCCCATTGACTCTTGTCCTATCCTCAGAGGCCAAGGAGAACAATTTTTCTCCCTCCTCCTTGTGACACCCTTTTAGATACTTAAAAACTGCTACCATGTCCTCTCTGTTTTCTCTTTTCTAAACTAAAAAAAGCTCAATTCTTACAGTCTTCCCTCAAGACATATACTACACACTAAAGGGTTTTTAATCCTTACAGTATAGGACATCAAACTCTATAGTCTGGTCATTAGACCACAGAACAGGGAGACCAGAGTCCTACAATGCCAGCTCTGGGACTGGCACACTATAGACTTCTGGTAAGTCACACCCCTTCCCTATGCCTCAGTTTCCCTCACCTGCAAAACAGGGAGAATACCCCTTTATAAAGCTCAACACCAGCACTCTATGATCCAGACTGGCTGTGTGTTGCCTTCCAGAGTGACCGAGGTGGTTGTTTTGACCCCAGAAGGGCTAAATAAACTAGAACCCCGTCTCTCCCTCCCTCTGCCAGTCATAGCTCTTCAACCCAAAAGGGAGGCAGCTGATGTCGGGGTGTTTTCCCCTTGGCTTTGAGGAGGACTCTGAGCCAGCCCAGACCCAGTGTCTGTATAGCAGACAGCAAAGTCCCTCTTTATGGGCATTTGTACAGGAAGAAGGGGACTTAGCAACAGAAATTTTTTACAGGGTCCTCCAGGGGATGGGAGTCGATGGGATCAGCAGAAGCCCCCACCCCGGTGCACTGATTGTATTTATTATATTGTGCCACAGCATTTGGAGTATGGGGGGAAAAAACTTCTTTGTGCGCATTTCAAAACCCGGGCCCAATTTTTCCCAAACGTGGGTGCGTACGGCTGGGCACCTAGAGCAAATGGCTGGATTGTCAGAGGCACCGAGCCCCCTTATCCTCTCCCCAGTCAATGGGAGGGCAGCCAAACACTTTTGGGGAAGAGAGGAAAAAAGCCAGGGGGACCTAAGCATAGAACGGATTCCTAAATCCAGTCCAATGATCTCGCAAAGCCACACATGCTCGACATGCATAGGAGTCAGACATGGAGTTAAACGCATGCATGGGAATTTACGGGGTAGGGACCCACATTGGAGAACGATTGGCAGCCCTTGATAAACAGCGACCACCAGAGGGTGCAAGAATAATTTCTAAAAACCTCCTCCATTCTCATCCGGCCCTTTTACACCTTACAGCCTGGATTTCTTGCCTACCTCAGAGCATGAATGCAATAGACCACCCGGGGCATGTTCTTCTTGTCGTAGATGTCCGTTGTCTCCGGGTGAAAGATCTGTTGACAATGGAGACAGCGTCAGTGTGTCAATGACAAACAGTAGGGATGCTAAAAAGTGGGTACTTGGGTAACCAGGTAACCACGTGTTACATGGTTACATGCACCCACAGCATTAGGGATCCCTGAGAGCAGGGTGGGACCCTGCGTGTAACTGCTAATGGTAACCGATAAGCTTTCGCTATTTAGCTGCACAGTGGCGGAGGCATGGGCAGGCAACTCAAGACCAGGGTTCAACTCCCAGTTCTACCCCGACCTGCTGGGTGACCTTGACCTGCCTTTCAGTTTTCCTATCTGTAAAATGGGGGCAGGGATACAGACCTTCTTTGTAAAGCCCTACAAAGTCGAAACACATTAGGGATTATCTTTGCTGATGCTAAGTGCCCAGGCTGGGAGCGTGGCCCCAGGGGGAGAATGCAATTCAAAAGACTGCTCTGTTGCGCATCTGGAAGCATCTGTACAGCTGGCTAGGCTTTACTGCTGACGTGGCAACCCCCTTAACATCCCCACCCTCACTCACGGGTCACTTCCATTTTTAAATGGAGATGGGCTCTCACGCAGACTCAGACCTGACTGTGCCCTAGAAAACCCTATGCCCCGCCCATACAGGAGACAAAGGAAGGTTCCTTCATACCCCCAGGGTGTCAGATGACAATTGTATTAGCCGGACCAGCCGCCTTTGACTCCACAAGGGTTTGTGATACACCTGGCTGGGTGCAGCCATGCAAGTGGCTCTGACTTCGGTAAAGTTTTTAATCCAAGCACTTTACTTCTCCGGGCTCCGCTTTTGGCCCGGACACGCCGCCGCTAGTACATTACCGAAGGAAGCCCCAAGCATGTTATGGCGTCGCGCCAATGGTTGATGTTATCCGTGTGTCGAAAATGAAGTCCAGTTGCCTGGAGAAACAGAGGAGAGATTAAACGGAGGGTGGAGAATGAAGCTTCCCCTCATGGGTGTTGCATTGTTGCTAACAACAGGGTTTCTTGTGCCTGCCTGACACAGCTGGTTCTGGGCACTGGACGGGACGTGCCAGCTCCGGCTAGTTCTTCCAAACCCGTTTAAGTCAGCACAGGCCAGGAACAACACGGGGTGAGCCTGACTGACAGTCATCCCTGCTAGGAAGGGGTCTGGAGTGAGCTGTACCAGATATAGCAGATACCAAAAAACCCACCATGTGCCTCTGAGGCAGGCAAGGCCGACGCAATGCCCGTATCATGCGGCACTCAGCTCACCCCCATGCCAAGCCTGGCAAAGATTTGGCATGTGAGCTGTTTGAAAGCCCCGAGGGAATCAGACAGATCATGCGGCACCCACCAATGTTCACCACCTAGAACCGCAAAGGTGTTTTAATTGGTGCCAAAAGGCAATAACCGATCGAAAGCCCCAATCCCGGAAAGACTGTTGGTTGGTTGTATGTTTTGAAGGAGCACATAGGAGCTTCCGTCCAGGGCTTGAGCCCCCTTACGCTAGGCACTGTACAAACTAGGGATGTTAATGTGTCATTGCTTACAAGATTAACCAGTAAGCCTGGGCCTATCGGTTAATCCCAACAACTGCACGCACGCACACACACACACCCCTTGCTGCCTCTGGATCAGAGGCAGCAGTGGGAGGGGAAGCTAGTGCCCATGGGAAGCCATCTTTTAAGCTGGCTCCCCTTATATGCTGTCTCCCTCAGAGACACCCCTTCCCCACTGCCTCCCAGAGGGGCAAGTGAAGTTGGTGCTCGGGGGAGCGGGGAAGTCGCCTTCTCCTCGCCACTTTGTGCTGCTGCCTCTGATAGAGAGGAAGCAAGGTGGGAGCCAGTACGTGCCGACTTTCAAGCTGGCTCCCCGCACATACCAGCTCATGCCAAGCCAACAGCCTACCCCCACCATATACCTCTGATACAGAGGCAGCGGGAGGAGGGGAAGGAAGGAAGGAGGGAGAAACAGGAGCCATTGTGCTCAGAGAGAGCTGGCTTTAAAACCGGCTTCCTATGAGCACTGGCTCCTTCCTCCGCTCGCCCACAGTATGCAAACATGTAACGCTGAAAATTTCAGTGGACACACATTTACACAAAAACACGTTTCAACATCCCTAGTACAAACATAGAACAAAAAAGATAGCCAGACCTTACCCCCAAAGAGCTTAACTTTAAGCACAGCAAATAGCCTATTGCAATCAATGGACCGGTTACATTATGCAGGGGTGCAGGCCACTGACCCACAGAAAAATCATTCAGGGGCTGCACACAAGTGAGAAGCAAACACCCCCCCCCAAAAAAGCCTCACTGACATGGCTCCCCAATGGAGAAGGAGAAAGACACTCCCCACATTCCCCTCGCACACCAGAGCCTACACCAGAAGATTGTGTGTGCTCCCGCCCCAGGGTAGGTCAGTGCGGGGGCTGGTGCACCAACACAGGCTCCCCAATGCTGGGGGGGAGAGGGGGCTGTGAGCCTCAGGAGCCAGATCCAGGCAAGCTGGGGGCTGCATCTAGTCCCCAAGCTGGAGGTTCCTCACCCCTGCATTATAGGATCAGAGACTAACGTGACAAGGGGTTGGTTAAGTTCGTTTTCTTTTTAAAGGTTTTGCTTTTCAACGCTATCCACAGCCTCAAAGCCAACTCTGACACCATGATCCAAGAGGCGGAGAAAGGGGGCGCTGGAGTCATCATGAATAGGTCAGACAACCAACAGGAGGCTGCCAGATGACTCGCCAACACTGGCATTCCCAGTCAGTGCCGTGTGCAATCAGCCCGCCCCTCCCTTCACATGCCCTGGCTCTGTGTGTGTCATTTTACTAACACCAGTAGGGAAAAAAGCTACACGGACGGAAACCAGCAGAATCTGAGAACCCGGCACATGGACAATAAACAAAATGTCTCGCAGGCAGCACATAGAACCCCAATGGGTTGCATGCGACCTGCGGGCCCGCCCTTCATGGATCTAGGATGCCACACAAAGTCATCCAAAACCAACGCGGATCTCTATAGATTTTATTCTGCCACCCCTCTCCCTAGGATTTGAGGGTCTAAAATTTTTTTGAGGGCAACATTTCAACCAGACATCTCTTGATCTGTAGAGAAGTGGTTCTCGACTGAGCTGTATCCGTTCTCCATAGGCTGATCACACTACCCAGTGCGTTATAGAGCTGGACAAACCCTCCTTTCATTTCGGGAGAGGGTTTTTATTCAGATTATTCAGTAGAAAAGGCTGGTCAGTTTCACTCATGCCTCCCCTCAGTTTCACTGCCAGCATTACCTTCAGAGGGGGGTCTGGTTTGCACAGAAGTGAAGCAACTGCAGCTCCAACTGGAGCTGCGGGCGCCAGCACTGGAAATCATTTACCCAAAGTCCCACAACGAGCCACGATTAGACCCCAGGTCTGCAAAGTCCCCATCTCAAACTCATTCCCTTTAACCCAACAAATCCCCGGCTCCTTTACCTTGTAGCGTGCCTGCTCGCAGTCATAGATCTTTTTCAGAGGGACGAGGTCTGGTGCAAAACAGTGGGCCAGCTTGGCCAGGATGACCCCGTTCCGTAAGCTCTCCTCCAGCTCCGTAGGGGAGGCCAGCTCCTCATTCAAACAAGCTTCCATCCAGCTACCACAAGAAAAGGAAAAAAAAATCTGTTTTTACAAGACCAGATGCCGTCACCACACCCAGTGTGGGTCTCCCACTGACCCGACGGGGCATTGCAGACACAGCACTGCAGACACAGCACAGCCACGAGGCAGGGCCTCGGGTTACACAGGTGTAGAATGATGGCAACATTTCGTATCTGTTTGTACAGTGCTTTTCCTCTCTGGGTTTCTGCATTCACTCAGGAATTGGCCAGGCACAGGGGGGTGAAATGGCCTGCCCGAGGTAAGGGGAAAGGGCACATGTGCGCAGATTCCTTTGCTTCCACTTATTGTTTGCTGGTACAGGTTGGACCATCCTAGTCCGGCACCCTTGGGACCTGAGTGGGCCCAAAGGAGGCTGCCAGACCAGAGGAGGTCAGGCCTCGGGCTCTCCCAGCAGTCCCCACCTGACCACCAGTCTAGCCAGTGCATGGCTCCCAGCTGCTCCACTCTTGGCTGTCACCCTGCTCTGGCTGGTCGAGATCCCTGTCCTCTGCCGATGGGGCTCCCTTCCCCTGTCCAGCAGCATCTCCGCATTCTTAACTACTGGGGCTTCCCTGCCCCCAGCCAGCGGTGGCTGCGCACCCCCAGCTGGCAGGGGAGCTGCTCTCACCTGGCAGGGCTCCCTACCCCCAGGCCACTGGCCCTCCAGGCTCCCTGCCAGCTGAGTTCCCAGCCACTGGCAACCTCTGTGTCTGGGGCACTCTGGTCCAGCAACATCTGTGTTGCTTGGCCTCAGAAGTTCAACCTGCGCTTGCTTCCCCCACCCGCCTTGCTGCCTCTGTATCAGAGGCAGCAATGCAGGGGGGGAGGGGTGAACAGGAGCAGGTACTGAGGAGAGCCAGCTTAAAAGCCGGTTCTCCCAAGAACTGTCTGCACAGTGCTGCCTCCCCCGCCACCGTCTCTATTAGAGGCAACAATGGAAGGGGTAGGGGAGACTGCTGCAAAAGCAGCCTCTGCCCCTGGCAGGCCCAGGCTCACAGGTATCAGAGGCAGCAATGCAGGGGGGGAGGGGTGAACAGGAGCAGGTACTGAGGAGAGCCAGCTTAAAAGCCGGTTCTCCCAAGAACTGTCTGCACAGTGCTGCCTCCCCCGCCACCGTCTCTATTAGAGGCAACAATGGAAGGGGTAGGGGAGACTGCTGCAAAAGCAGCCTCTGCCCCTGGCAGGCCCAGGCTCACAGA